AGTCGCGTTTTTTGGCATGTATCGATACAAATTGACTGTAAATGTGGGTACATGATAATATCAATGCTAGGTTTATTCGATTTGGCCAAAAAGCTACAACTGTATAGAGTTAAACAATTTACAAAGCTTGCTCAGATTCTGCTATGACATTTTATCTGTTTGCAGAGTGTTAGGAGTTGTGAAGCTGTCGCCATATAGCTTCGAAAAAGGGCGTCATTGTTTCCTTCCGTCGATTCTCTACTGTATCGCTCAATGGTTGACTGTAGTTGCTTTCGAAGGGATTGGTTTACCTGGTTTTGAATCAGTAAAAAGGTGCGTTGGAATGGAATCTCTCCATAAAAACTTGGGTTGGCTCATGCACCTTCTTTGAGAACTGCAAAATCTTGACAAAATCACTCGACTTCAGATCTGTACAAATCTTGCTTTTGTAATATCATGGCGGTCAAGTGGCCAACTCGATGTATCAAATTTTCATTGCTTTATAAAATTATTACTCTTGTAGTCTTCTTCCAACAACATAACAAATTGCAATCCTAATTCGAACAATTATGTGTTATGCATTCTTTTAAGAAGTTCAGAACAAATAGGTCGCAAAAATTTCTGTCTGGTTTCTTCCGCAAATTCCTCGCCTTATTCATGTAGTCATTGTTGAAATTTAACGCAACTTTGAATGATATGGTGTTCATTGACCAGTGGCACTTGACGGTGCTGCTTCCTCAGTCTTGAGCTTCAGGTTTGCTCCGCTTATGATTCTGCTTGGGACAAATGCTCTATCGCGACAAGCTCGGTTAGACCACAATCAGTTGATAGGTGTTGCAGCAATCTCCTTCACATCCTTCCTGGCAGGTAAACATGCCTTTAAACAATCTTTACAACAAAGTAAGCTGCTCTACTGGCAAACGACTGCTAGTCCATTGCAGCCCTATATGAATGCGAAACAAAATATTCGAATTTGTTTTAGTGAACTTTGAAATCTCACTAGACCAATATTCGCTATTCTACGGACTTCTTGCTGCTCTTCTTCAGGCCGCAGCTTATATGCAGTTCGAATCCCTCTCCCATACTTATCAGGTACAGCACTTTAAAATTCGAGACAGTTCTTGAATAAATAACTCACAATGATATCATAAAGTCTGTTTATTTAGGCAGCAG